TGAAGGTGAGCAGAGATTTCGATCGCTCCAGGGATAAATATGAAAAATGGCTTGAAAACCCTGCTCACAATCCATATCACAAAAATTACTAGAGACAGTTTGAGGGAGAGGGACTAATGTTAAGCAGTTTACTTTGCTTTTCAAAACCACATAGAAAAATTAATCCTAACCAACCATGGAAAAGGGATGAGTTGCATATTCCGCCATGCGAATTGCTTGTGTGCTTCTAGTAATCTATTGAAAACTTACGTTGGTAAGGATGACTTGTATGGTCGCCTAAACGGGACACGGGAATAGAAACGTTCCGCTCACTTAAGATATGTGGCCTTCCAGGGAGGAAGGGGGGTAAATATGTAGTGGGTCGTTGCCTGTCCGACTAGCTCGTGTCGAAGTGCACTTTCCCAAAGGCTTGTATTGGGTCATGCCTGCCCAACTAGCTCGCGTTGAATTGCACTTTCTCAAAGGCTTACCGATGCGGTTTCTCGAGGTCTCCATCAGCCAATCACAGTCCCCGCTTTGGACAGGCGACGAATGGCATGCTTGCACGCGTTCCCGATGCAAGTTGCCTCTCTGCCCAAAATCTCCAGGCCGACCTAGCCAATGAAAGATCTTCTCCCTGTCTTCTGGCCCGACTACTCTAAGACCTCACTTGGGCCCGGTCAACCTACTGATCGGACGTGTCTCTCCCGAGTCAATCTTACTCTCATCGCTCTCCTTTCCGTTGTGTACACAGTACATTCTTCCTACTACTCTGGCCTTTAAAGACTTCTCCTTTGCACTAAGTAACCATGGTCTGAAGATCGCAGTTGCTGGGTTTAACTCACTTTCTCTACTAAGTAACCATGGTCTGAAGATCGCAGTTGCTGGGTTTAACTCACTTAACCCCATGCGATAGGCTCACCGATGCGGCTTTTCGACGTCTCGATCAGTCAACCACAGTTCCCGCATCTACGCGGTTTGGGCCAAGCGACGAATAGCAAGCTTGCACGCGTTCCCGACGCAAGCTGCTTCTTTGCCAAAATCTCAAGGCCGACCTAGCCAATGAACACGCTCTCTCTGTCTCCTGGCCTAACTGCTCTCAAACAGTCACTTGGGACCCGGTCGATCCCCTTGGTGGTCGGGCTCTCCCAAGTCAATCTTCTCTCGTTTATTCTCCTTTCCTTTGTGTACACAATAAACTCTTCCTACTACTCCGGCCTTCACCGACTTCTCTTCGGCACTAAGTAACCATGGGCTGAAGATCGCAGTTACTGGGTTTGACTCACTAAACCCCCTGCGATAAATACTCCCGTGTCTTAACCCTAACACTAAACCCAAAATGAAACTTAACTGTAGCCTTGACCTCAACCTTGGCCCTACCCTAAACCTAAACGCTACGGGTAACACCAACCACAATCTTAGCCCTTAGTACAAGCCTGACCCTGACCCTAACCCCAACTCTGACCTTAATCCCAGCCCTAAGCCTAACCCTATCTTTAGGCCTCACCTTAATTCTAAACCTAATTTCCCCGGAATCTGACGCAAAACCACATGTACTTTGGGGGCGGTTCCTTTTCCCATCGCCTCTTTAGGTGGCTATACAAGTCGTCCTTACTGTCTTCTGTCCTACATAACAATAGGTGAAGTAATAGTGAAGGAGGGAGCGTGTAAACTGGTGACGTCCAACACCACCATATGGCCATTACAAAGTTTCTTTGACCTCGTGGGTTGCTTTTTTATGCGGCCTTCATCGACTACCTCCTAGTGGTCAGCCTCAATATGAATGAGCAATTATCGCAGGGGGTTAAGTGAGTTACACCCGAGCAATTGCGATCTTCAGACCATGGTTACTTAGTAGAGAAGAAGGCAAAAGTAGCTTATATAGGCCCACTCATATACCCCTAGTCCCAGCATT